TACCCTTAAGGGTTCCTTTGAGGGTTCCTTTAAGGGTTGCTTCGAGGCTTCATGTACGCATATAGTATATACCTTGGCCTATACTACATAAGTACAGTAGGGCCAAAGTAAATACTATATAGGTACATGGACCCTGAAACCCTGAATCCTATAATTAGAACCCTCAAAGGGAACTCTTTCTGGAACCTCACAAAAAGTTCAAAACTACTCTGAGTACCGTGCACCCTTAGGGGACGATGGAGACGAACGCTGGGTAGCGGACAAAGAGCGGCGCAAAACCTCTAAAAGGCTATCATTCTACATACTCTTGGGTCTAAGTAGGGTTTAGGAGAATAAGGAAAGGGCTTCTCATGTGGAATACCAGTAACTCAGGTCTGTCTCGTGCCGTTTTCTGCACGCCCGCCATGTTCTAGAGGGGCGGTGCTTCCCTGGAAGGCACCCCCTCGACAGGAAGAGATGGCAGTTTCGGGCTTTAGGAATTAGTTCCTGGACAACAGTTCGCGAAGTCTAAAAACCTGCGGGAGACTAAAGCCGTGAAGTGGGACTATAGTCGGTAATGACACCTAAGAATAAGAAGTTTGGCCACGAAGCCCCCATGGAATACAACAACTGATGCGCCGACCCCCGCGTTTGCTCTTCAGTGTGCCCTGAGTAGGTTTAGCGGGTTCCTGCACATCTCTCGTAGCAGGCCGCGCCCGACAATAACATCCAAAGGTTTCAAGTAAATACATGGTACCCGAAACCCTAAACCCTAGACAGATGATAGGTTTCTGGGTCAGAAAATGTGTAAGATCTGGTCTAAAGGTACTTGGGATCCGTGGGCAACCTCGAAGCAATGACCAAAAGCGGCAGCGCCCTCACCAAACCCATAATAAGGAGCCCCCGAAATAGTATGGGTAATCATTTAGGCTCCTGCATTACCCGAAATCCCTGAATCCGAATCCCCAAAGCTGGACACCCAAACCCTACCTGAAACCAAAACGAACCTACCTTTCTCAGGAAGTATGCAACGAAACCATAACAAGGAGCTTTAAAAAAGATCTGTTATCTGGGGTACGTAAAGGTATACCCTAAGCCCTTAACCCGTGTACCTAAACCCTGAACCCCAAGCCCTAAACCCTGAAACCCTAAACCCCAAACCCGAAACCCTAAACCCCAAACCCGAAACCCCAAACCCATTTAAGGAACCCTATAGATCGCTTTATCAAGACCCTGTAAAGGACCCTAGAGGCCCTAAGGCCCTGAGCCCCAAAGCGCCTCGAGTCGGCGTTCGGGCCAATCGGCTCTAAAGCCGGGACCCAGACCCGCCAGCCCTGGGTTCCAGGGTTTCAGGGTTTTGGGTTTAGGGGTTTAGGGGTTTAGGGTTTAGGGTTTAGGGTTTAGGGTTTAGGGGTAATGGGTTCCAGGGCTTGGGGTCCTCTTAAGGGGTCCTTTAAAGGGATCTATAGGGTTCCTGTAATGGGTTCCAGGGCTTGGGGTCCTCTTAACGGGTCCTTTAAAGGGATCTATAGGGTTCCTTAAATGGGTTCCAGGGCTTGGGGTCCTCTTAAGGGGTCCTTTAAAGGGATCTAGAGGGTTCCTTAAATGGGTTTCAGGGTTTAGGGTCCTTTAAAGTGTTCCTTAAAGGGATCTATAGTCATCTATGGGTTTCAGGAATTAGGGTTTAGGGTTTGGGGTTTCAGGGCTTAGGGTCGCGGATTGCGGGGTCTAGGTTTAGGGTTTAAAGGTTCGGGGCTGTCGGGGGCTCAGGGTTAGGGCCCAGCTTCATCCTAACAGTCATTCTATAATTCCTGAATCTTTCTTCAAGCTGTTGTGTACATACAACTTACAACCCTAAACCCTAAACCCTATGCCCTCATGTGGGCTACGGTTGAGGGCTGAAGGATCGGATAATGGGGTTTGGGTCTTCTAGGCTTTCCCTCCCACATAGCCTACCGCATCAAGGACTTCGGACTCCTCCTGCTCCACCGCCAGCACCTCGTCCACCTCCTTGCGCAAGCAGGAGATCCGGTAGAAGTCGCCCGTACGCAGAGCCGCCTGGGTCTCCTGTCTCTCCTCCTGAGTGCCAGTTGCCAATGATCTTGCATGCTGAACCCTAAACCCTAAACCCTAAACCCTAAACCCCAAACCCTAAACCCTAAACCACAGATGCATACCCCATCTTGCGACCTGCTGTTGGAGCTGCTTGTTCTCGGCCAGCTTCACACACAAAGCACAGGGGCCACCCTCGACGAAGGTGCCGGTGCAGTCCATGTGCTTCAACCGCGGCTGATCGAAGTATCTGCTCAAACCTTTCGACTCCACCAAAATAGTGTAAAATCTGTCCGATATCCTCGACCTCATATTTGGGCCCACCACAATCAAATTGTGGCCCTCTCTCTCCCTCTCTCTCTCTCGCTCTCTCGCTCTGTCTTGAGATCTGTGTATATATATATATACACATACCTAGAAAGCAAACAGACAAAACGGAGAGGCTGATGTAATTTATCAAAGGGTCACAGAGTCCCAAGACCCTAAAGCCCTAATCAAACACCCTGTACGTACCCTCAAACATTGGGGCTTAGGGTTTAATTAGGATTCTCAAACAGCCTAGACCCCATACCCCAAACTCTGAACTCCAAACAACACCTTGAGGACAAGGGCCTAGACGTATTGGAGAGGTCGGAATAATCTCCCTAAGCCCTAAACCCTAAACCCTAAAACCCTAAAGCCCTAAACCCTAAACCGGTACTGCTCTCGCCTCACAGCCGCATGTAAATATAGTTAGAACCCTCAAAGCAACCCTAGTCTGAAGATTAAGGTTTAGAGTTTAGGGTTTAAGGTTTAGAATTTGGGTTTAAGGTTTAAGGCCCCTCTACTAAACCGTAAAAGACCCGAACAGTTGACTTCTCTTCGCCCCAGCAAATCCTGCGATTTAGCTTTGGGAAGGTTTGCAGCTCATGAAGGTAAACCCCTTCAGAGCTCCTTTCGGGATTCCTTCAAGAGTGTGCGAGGTTGAAGGGCTCAGGTGTAACTAGGGTCTAGGGTTTCGAATCGTTGAGTCACCACAATTTAGGATTCCTGTGAGGCTTTAGGGTTTAGGGGTTTAGGGTTTAGGGTTTAGGGCTTAGGGTTTAGGGGTTTAGGGTTTAGGGGTGTAGTGCTCAGGAGTTTGTGGTTTGGATATGGTCTGCTGATCCCTAAACCCTAAAGGTTGGTGGTTTTGGACATGGTCTTTTGATCCCTATAAGCCCTAAACCCTTAACGAAAGCAGATCTGTTCAAAGCTCGAACTTGGAAGTCGGAATAGTTGGTCTGTGTCCCATTAGGATGATCCCCCTCCCGGCAAAACAAAAAACCTATTCTAATTCTTAAGGCCCCTATATAGACGCCAAAACGTCATATAAGCCCGTCGTAGAAACCCATGAAGAATCCCTCTACCCAACATCTAACCCTGTAAAGCGTGTTTAAAAGCACCCTAAACCCTAAACCCTAGACCTAAACCCTGAACCCCAAACCCTAAACTCATTAGACCCAAGCGTTCCAAAACCGTAAACCCGTACACCCTGCCTTCTCTTCCTGCGCTGCCGGAGGCCTCCTGCACTGGAGGCGAACTATCGAAAGCCACAGCAACTAAACTACAAACCCAAGCAATCCTAAGCACCTATGTAGTAGAGAGTAGGGCTTCTATATTGGGTATGCCTATATGATTTGGGAAAGTATCCCCCATAGAGTTACTTAGGGCCGTTTGGTCAAGCGGACGAGTAGATCAATACGTTGTGCAGAATATATACATATGTCCTTACATACATAAACACTTTCAGATAAACGGATAGATAATTAGATGGATAGATATGGTTATCTATGGTATTATCCGCGTTTGCCAATTTCAACCTGGCTCTCTCGACAAACACTTGCCATTCAACTTCACATAACGAAAAGTTTGTAAAGTAGAGTAAACAGAGTGGCATGACCGGTGTTGCACAGCTTTCGTACCGCTGCAGACATCTGTAGAACAATCCAAATGGTACCAGGGCTTCTTCGGCTTCGTCACCGAAACCCAAATCCAAAATAACATCTTGCATTCTTCGTGTTCCGTAAATCCGTGAATTCCTGCTAAGCTTCTCAACTTCAATCTCAAAGCCCCGGCCGTGGTCTAATCCCCTACCTATCGTCTCCACTGCAGGCTCCTGAATAAACAACTGAAGCCCTAAACCCTAAACCGAACTACAATGGAGACTATGGGCAGACTCCAATATCATCTCTTTAGCAACCGCACCCTGAACCCTCAGAGCCCGAAGCCCACAAGCCTACTTTGAAGCTCTTAATAATCTAGACTTTAGGGTTTAGGGCTAGAGTAGGACTTGGGGGGCCACTTTATGTTATAATGACGGCAAGGAAGCCCGCATATATATATATATATGGCTTAGGGTTCAGGGTTTAGGGTTTACGGTTTAGGGTTCGTATATATATATATATATATATATAGGGAATCTTTCTACTACTGACATAGGCCGTCTTTTTCGTAAACCCGGGGTCTGATGTGACTGAAGCCCTACAGCCTAAAACCAATGTAAATTTGGGTTTAGGATTTAGGGTTTAGGGCCTGTCATTATATGGGAGGGGGGGGGCCCAAAACGGACCCCAGTTTAGAGAATCACCCATATACTATACCCACAGGCTCCATAGTAGATAAACCACAAAAAATTGAACTATAATGGAGCCTATGGGTAGTTAACCCTACACCCTAAATCCTAACTAAACCCTAAAGCACTAAAGCCCTAAAGCCCTAAAACCCTAAAGCCCTAAAGCATAAACCCTAAAGCTCTAA